TGGTCGAGCTAGATAGAACACTTCGAGGCACATCTCTCATAGATGTTAACCAAGGATGGAGTGGAAGTTCTGAGGTTATTACTTCTAGTACATCTGTTTCTACAAGCTATCAGTCAGAACCTTATTAGAATCTGATGATAATAGGCAATCCCAGTGATCCCGGAGTTACTTCTAACCAGTCACCACATCAACAGCAAGCTCCCTCTAACCTTTAAGTCCCATCAATCCACGATCAACTCAAAGAGTATGTCATTTATGGAAATTGGAGACGCGAATAGACCAAATGGCATGACCTTAGACAAGGGGCTGAGCAATACGAGATGCAGAAAGGATTCTTTATTAGAGATTTGCTTAGGAAATGTGATGCTGAAATAATTGGGCTTGAGGAAGATGAAATCAAAGAAGGGGAGAACTATAATAAAGCTCCTGCTGAGCTACCCAAGGTGCTCAGAAGAACATGAACTCTGCCACCTAAAAATGAGAAGCCTTGGGAAAACATCTGAATAACTGCCTCCTTCCAAGAGGTAATCTGAAAGCATATATGGAGAAGACCGTAGAAGATAAAAAAACTAGATGAACTGAAAGCCCAAAGTTTTACCCACCTGAAGGGAAGACAAATCGGAGGACATATTCACATGTTAAGTCACCGGTCAATGAGCAAACAACGTGAGATCCTGAAGCACGATCTACAGACAAGCACGTCCCCCATCTGGAACACTTTAGACTTGGGTGAAGGTGATCACGCAAGAATAAAGCTCTACATCTACCAACTACGGCGCACTAACAGAACAGAGTTCACCTGCTAGGAGTATGACTTCTTTATGCTCAAAATGGACGATATTTATCACATGTTCATGGCCTACAGGAATCTCTCCATGAGTAGCAGTAGAGTGATAAAAGAAGGCTATGATGCAATCAAAAGGTTCATGATAAGGCAAGTCTGAGTCCATGCATCACATAATCTTCAAATGGGCCTGGATAATAATATCCCAAAGGCAAATCTCGCCAGGCCAATAATATACGCACCAGAGCTTGAACAGTTTTCACCTTACCACATTTTTGACAAGCCGGTCGCGATAATCTACTTGAATCATGGATATGAAGAAAAGAAGTGCCTGATGAAGATTGAAGAGACTACCAAATACTGTGATGGGACTTTGAAGATCATTAGGGATAAGCTGAAACCGCTGAAAGAAGAAATCGAATGAAGACTTGCCGATGCATCTAAAGCTGAATTGGACGAATATGACAGACTCTCCAAGGTGCTAAGAGCTATCGAGGAACAACTTGACAAACGGCGATCTCTTTGTCAATACGAGCATGCTCTAGCACTAAGGAAGAATTACTACAAGAAACAGAAATAAAAACAAGCAAGGCAGCACTTGATCACAAAGGGGGAGATTGTTGAAGATATTTTTATTGTGATCAAGATGTTAAAATTAGTCTTGTTTTTTTACCATTTATGGTATTTATTTGTAATAAATAGAATAGCCATTTAAGGATGAGAGCCATTTATGTATAAGGCCCAAATCCCTGGGTTAGGCCTTTTTAGGAAGGTTGTACACCCTACGCAAATAAATGTGCTCTGAGGATGTACAGCGTCTAACTTTTCGCACATCTACAGTAGCCGCATAGCAAGTTTTCGATATTGAGTGAGAGAGAGAGTTTCATTTGTTCGAAATATTCAAGATCATTCTAATGAAATTCCTCTCAATCCTTTTTTCGAATATGTGCATCCATATGTACCAAAACATATGTTAGTTAATCTCATAAAACATGGACCAAAACTCACCGGCCCGGTTCTTACAACATATGTAAAATATTTATTATTACTTTTCAATATATAGCTATCGATATTAAGCCCGCCTCAAATATTTAGTTGCCGATGATGTCACATCTACTTCAGTACTAATAAAGTAGAGTATGTATTCTCAATTGAAATTAAATTATACTTAAATTGTTATTAAGTCCAGTTATTAAAATTGACATTCCATTTTTTGTTGTAAGGTCCTTACTTATTAATTACTTTATTAATTACCTACATCAAACATTACTAATTTCAAATATCAAAATTCTATTCAATTAGCAAGGTTATCATAATGTGGATTAAACACTCCTATCTTGAGAAGTTTTAATCAATTTATTATTGTAATAGAACTATTTTTTAATAAAACTAAATAAGTCATATTTAGGAAATTAAAGACATCCTTTTTATATTTTTTTTAATTTTGCCTATGCTTATGACAATTTCTAACGTGCTTATAATCAATCAAGCATTTTGTGATTCACTGTCATTCTTAAAGAGGTCACGAGTTCAAAATCTATCCAAGTCAAGCATTTTATATTAAACCAACCAATCAAAAATGCTCTTTGTACCCACATTAGTACCCACCCTATACACACTACTTAAACCCAAAAAAATTACCCCCCCCCCCCCTTTTCCCCTTACCTCACTCCCCCACAGACCCGCTTATCTCACCCCCCCCCCCCCCCCGAAAATCAAAACTCTCGGGCCTCCTCTCTTCTTCCTTTGATTATCCTAAGCACAAAAGCAAATAAACTTCTGATTTTACTTCCTCTTCCATGGATTATGACTTGGACGACACCATGCTGACAAATGAGGACGAGTTTTGGGCTTTGTTGAATGTTATTCCCGGAGGTAAAGAAACTGGAAACGATGTCGGAGTTGGAGAAACCGAAGGACAGACGGCCGGAGGTGGACAAAGTGACAGGATGACGGACGGAGGCGGAGAAGGCTCCGGACAGAAGGCCAGAGTTGGAGAAGATGATGGACACAGTGCTGGAGTGGGAGAAGGTGACGGTGAGATGGACCTGGCCGGAGAAGATGAAGGACAGACGTCACCGGCGGCCGTGGACTTCGTTTCTGACCTCGATAGGACTTCATCTCATGGTTTTAGCAGTTTATTGAACTTGAAAATACGTTTCTTCTCACAAGCATGTTCTTATAGTTGGAACTTGTTTATGTGGTTTATTGTTTGTGTATGTAAATAGTGGTGGATAAGTTTGTTTGTGTAGTTTTGTGGGTGTCTGTTAAAGTTTTGAATTGTCTGTGTTTGCATATATCACTGTTGATGCACCCCCTAAGTTTGTTTCAAGTCATGCATACGTTTCTTCAAACATGCATACATAATGTGAAACTTTTGAATTGTCTGTGCGTACCCCTATGTAGTATTCAACGTGTTTGTGAAACTTTTGAATTGTTTGTGTTTGCATATATCACTGTCTGTATTTACCCCTAAGTTGTTTTGAACGCATGCATACGTTTGGTGACACATGCAAATTATAGGAGGTGTCACTTGTTTATGTGTGTGTTTGTTTGTGTATGTAGATAGTGGAAGACTTGTTTGTTTGTGTAATATTCAAAGTGTCAGTGAAAGTTTTGAATTGTCTGTGTGTGCATATATCACTGTTTGTGTGTAACTCTAAGTTTGTTTCAAAGCATGACTAAATGAACCATGTACTAAAACAGATGGAGAAGGGCTGCCAAAGGAACTCAACTTGGTAAAGATCTGGAAGTTGGTATGGAGTTTGAAAGCAGAGAAGCGGTGTATGATTTTTACAAAGCATATGGGAAGTGATTGGGATTTCCTATAAGAACTAGGAGTACAACGAAAGACAAAAGAGGAGCACATATTGTGTCAGTTGTACTAGAGTGTTCACGGGCTGGTTGTAGAGGTAGTCAGTCAAAAAATCAATTGAAGCCCCAACCTTCAATACAAATAGGGTCTGGAGCTAAACTACGAGCGCATGTAAATTATGCGGGACTTTGGCAAATTTCAAAAGTGTGTGTACAACATTCACATCCTATGAGTCCAACAAAGGTTCACTTATTCCGATGTAATAGGAGGATGACTCTTGGAATGGTGAGGAAACGACTTATTCCGATGCAATAAATGATGTTGCGGGAATACGACTTAATAAGAGCTTCACAATACAAGATATTATCATGGACTAACAAAATATACTAAATCGGTGTTACTAGAGACATATTTAATCCATTATGGACATGTCACATATTAAAAAATAACACATTCTCCTAAAATAACTTGAACCATATAGATATAATTAAATGAATAGTGATCTCTAACAACAATAAATAAAATTACTCAAACAACATGTATACAAAATCATTTATCCCTAATATGATATTGTGTATTTAGTCATTTTTATAATTTAAAAAAAAAAATTTGAAATAGACTTCCAGACAAAGTTGTGTGCCTCGAATCACGGAATCCCTATGTAGATACACTAAGTGTATCCTTCTTCACTCGTTAGCTACTCAGCGGCTCAGCCATCGCGACACACAAGCTCATGGAACAAGATGGAGTGGTTTCTCGACATTAGCTCATTAGGGTTAGTTTGTTTGAATGCTACGTAGTAGAATCCTAGATTATAGTGGATTTGGGAAATTGGGTCTTTCTTTTTGTATATTCAGATTTGTAACCAACCTAATTATTAACTTTGGGCTTCAAAATTGTGATGGACTTTTACAATATTTTAGAATTTAAAGTAATTGTTGGGTATGGAGTCGGTACGGTATACTGGTATACTGCAGTATTTGAAAACATTTACTGTTACCGTATCGAAATAAATCGGTACAATATTGAAAATAACGGTATACCAATACTCCGGTATTTTCCGATATTTTTCGGTACGATAAGTGCAGTATACCGATTTTCCAGTATTTTTGCACACCCCTATAGTATTCCAGAGGTAAATTTTTGCACATTTACCTACTTATATTCATCATCAGGAATACTCCCTCCGTCTCGTTTATATTGTCCCGTTTTACCTTTTCGAGAAGTCCCACTTAAATTGTCTTATACCATATTTGGAAAAGTTTGTGTGGCTTTAAATCATCCTTACTTTATTCTTACTTTATCGATTAATATCAAGCACACAAATCCACTTTTCTTAATAGCCGTGTCACCCTATTCCGGGACGATATAAATGGGAAGGAGATACTAATATTCATTTGGGACTTGCATGTTCGCGCGCCGTACGACTGCGTTTTCGGTAACATATCCTTCAATTTCACCTCTGACAGGGTGCGACGTTCGTCGCTCTCTCTCTCTTTGGTCTTTATTTTTCATCATCGTCACCAATTTGCACGAGTCTGCTGATCGCCGGAAACCACCTCTCCACTGACCACCGCCCGCACATATCTCCACTGGAGGTTAGTGTTCATAACCCAGTTTTTGCCAGACCATTATCTCTCTGCACTCCACCAAACGGCTCTGAGGTAAGCGATTCACACATCGCAGGCTCGGCGTCTCCTCACTGCTTTTGACTCTTCTGGTTATGTGAAGATATTTTGTTCCTTCCTAAATGTCACCATACGCGGAGAAATGTTTAAGATGGTAGTGTCTTAGGCAAAACAGCTAGAGCTAGGGTTTAGAGACGGGACTCAAAATGTTAAACAAGATCATAAAGAGGGGGAATCGGAAGGCTCAAAAATCCATCGGAGGGGATTTCAAGTACGGACCTCAGCAGGTTACCGCGTCCAATGTGGTGGTGAACCATGCTTCCAGAGGCGGCTTGCAGGTAGATTCAACACAGTCGCACCTGTTCACCATGATGCCGCCAGTTCTGGTCCCAGGAACTATTGACAACCTTCCTGTATTCCGAGATGTGCCAGTGTCGGAGCGCCAGAACATGTTTCTGAAGAAGCTTCAGATCTGCTGCTTCCAGTTTGATTTCACAGATGCAATGAAGATGGTAAGAGAGAAGGAGATCAAGAGGCAGTCCCTTGTGGAGCTTGTAGATTTCATTCAATCTGGATCTGGAAAAATCACTGAGAGCAATCAGGAAGAAATGATAAGGATGATATCCATCAACATATTCCGGTGCTTGCCTCCAAACTCACACGAGAATACAGGATCGGACAATACTGACCCTGAAGAGGAGGAGCCCTTTCTAGAGCCCTCATGGCCGCATTTGCAGCTCGTCTATGAACTTCTTCTGCGCTACATTGTCTCATCCGACACAGATACGAAGATAGCTAAACGGTTTATTGATCACTCATTTGTGTTGAAGTTATTGGATTTGTTTGGTTCTGAGGACCCAAGGGAAAGAGAGTATTTGAAAACAATTCTTCACCGAATATACGGAAAGTTCATGGTGCACCGGCCATTTATAAGGAAGGCCATTGGCAACGTCTTTTATGGATTTATATATGAAACAGAGAGACACAGCGGGATAGGTGAGCTTTTGGAGATTCTGGGAAGTATAATAAATGGGTTTGCATTGCCAATGAAAGAGGAACATAAGTTGTTTCTCGTCCGTGTACTCATCCCACTCCACAAGCCAAAATCAATAACATTGTATCATCAGCAGCTGTCTTACTGCATTTTTCAGTTTGTGGAGAAGGACTACAAGTTGGCTGATACGGTTATTAGAGGTCTTCTGAAATACTGGCCTGTTACTAATTGCCAAAAAGAAGTTCTCTTCCTTGGGGAGCTTGAAGAAGTTTTGGAAGCCACACAGCCATCTGAGTTTCAGCGTTGCATTGCTCCTCTATTTAGACAGATAGCTCGTTGCCTGAACAGCCCCCACTTTCAGGTTGTTAGACATTTTTCATCACTTCCAACTAATGTTATACTTTTTATTTAGATTCTCCTTTTAGAGCCGATTCTATATGTTTGTGTGCTTGTGCTGTATTGTTATCCATTTAATTTTTATTGTTGGGTCGAATAGCAAGATCTAAAAACTTAAACATTTTAAAGTTGCATGTACTTTATGCGGTGTGCCAAGCTGCTTGCTTTTTTGGCTGGTTGATTCCATGCTACCATTTGATAGTGTCTTAAATGAACATTGAGGTTAACTGCAGTATCATCAATAAATCTGTTTCCCCAAAGAAAAGAGCCTTATTTCTACAAAAGAAGCTAATTCTCGTTCAATTTAATGTAATGTAAATAAAACAACAGGTTAAATGTACTACCCGAGTATAAGAACAAAATTTAAAAAAAAAATAGAATATTGGTAATATTGATAATTTACAAAATTTGTTTCTTGTTAAAATTAAAAAGTTATACCTTGATGAAACATGACTCTTTATGGACTTCGGAGACGGGTGGAGTAGGATTTGTTGTCATATTTAGAAGGCGGAAGTTTAGGCAATGAGGCCCTAAAGTTTAAGTATGATGTTGTGTGTGAGGCTGCTCTATGTTTATCATAGAGGTTAATATAATTTAGGAGCTTATGTGGAGAGGGGTAAGGCTATGTACATCCGACCCCCCCCCCCATTTAAGGCACTGGGGTAATGTTGGTTGTTGTTGTTGTAGTTTATGTGGAGAGGTTTTTAGGGTTCTTCCTTAAGTCTCTTGCCCCTCCTTGGATGTTACTACGTAGATCCTTTCTGCTATCAATCAACTTTGATTTTCCGAATTGCATACGGGAGTTGATGCAAGAGGGCAGGATCTGAGTATTCTCAACCACTATTGGATAATGGGAGACTTTAAGAAAGCTGGTATTGCTTTTCAATCGAGTTTGTCAACATTTGTCACATGCAATATTGTCTGCTTGGAGTGATCTCCAAACCCTCAAGGCCTCAAAGTTCACATCCCTGGACCTGCCTTTCACACTACCTGGTTTCACAGATGATCCCTCCTGCAGTTCTTCCTCCTTTAGGGTCCATTTGAAATATGGATAATATTATAGAAAGAAAATAGGGAGGAAAGCAAAATTCGGCATAAAAGATCCGTTCTACGTAGTATCTCATTAAATTTATTCTAGATACTTGTTTAAACTTATTCTTTTTTTATTTATTTATATGACTATAAAAACCAAGAAAATATAATTATATGTATTAAAATGTCATACTTCATTAGTTCATTTTCCTTTGCATTTTCCAAGGTAAAGCCAAACATAAGAAACAGCTTTCCTTGCCATTTGCTTTTCTTTCACTAGCATGGTATGGAATATGGATCCCAATATACCCAAAGGCTTAAGTACTTAAGTTATAATATTCTTTAAAGATTCGTTCAGCAGCAAATATACATATACAAATACATGCTGTTACAGGTTGCAGAACGAGCTCTGTTTTTATGGAACAACGAACACATTGTAAGCTTGATTGCCCAGAGCAGAAATGCCATTTTACCCATTATTTTCGAGGCTCTTGAAAAGAACATACAGTTTCATTGGAATCAAGCGGTCAATGGACTGACTGTGAATGTAAGGAAGATGTTCATGGAGATGGATGCTGATTTGTTTGAGGAGTGCCAAACACGGTACGCAGAGAGAGTGGGCCAGGCCACGGAAATGGCAGAACAGAGACAATACAAATGGCAGAGATTAGCAGCTGCTGCAGGGGAAGAGGGGTGAGAGATGTAAGTTTATCGTTGGAACATCATCATCATTATCGTTGTACTCACAACTGCTCTCAGTATGTATGCATGTATTTATATTTATCATAACTGTGATAACATGTACTCGGTATCAATTTAAGAACGTGGCTTGTGAAAGTTATCTGAGTGCATTTTGTCATATACACTTTTCTTGAGAGAAGTTGTTTCTGATACTGAGGAAAGCCTAGCTACTGCCTACTACTTATAGATTATAAATCCGGTTTCAAGCACTTCTCTTGTGATTTTCTTTTCTTTTCTGACCTGTAAGGATTGTTTTCAATCCTCTTGTGTTTTGTACTCTAAGAACTCCAGTTTAGTCTTCACTCTTGTGGGGAAATGCTTTTTTGTACAGTTTTGGGATTCCGTTCCACTTTATCATTTTCAGAGATATTCTCAAACAACTTTTTTCATTAATAAGACTCCAAACAGCAGCACGATTTAATCATATGTACTGCATCCGTCCTATAAGGTAAGCTACATATGAATTTTAACCTCCAAACGTAAGAAAGAGAAAAATGAATTCACAAAAAGTAAAATATGAAACGATAGATAAAGAGATAAAGTGAAAAAAAATGTAAGAAATAGAAAAATGAATCCACAAAAGTAAAATATGAAATGATAGATAAAGAGATAAAGTGAAAAAGTAAAACGTTAGTAGAATTCAATTTAAGAAAGTGTTCATATTTTTGGAACACTTTAAAAAGGAAAATGTATCTTACAAAATGGACAGATGGTTAAATATAAATTAAGTGTGTTTTTACTTGGATTGAAATTTTCTGGTCTGATATAGCTTGGTCTGAACTGGTCTGGTTTGGTAGATGTTTGGTCTCTATCTATTTTACAACTATTGAAGTCTGGTTTGGTTTGAGACTGAAATAAGTCCGAGAAAAAATATTCTAATTGTTAAGTGATAAACTCTAAACCCTAAATGTAAATTATAAGGGAAATTGACCTAAACAGGAGTAAACAATTTTGAGAATTTCAAAATAGAACTACTATGTTTTTCTTCTGGAAATATGAGTTGTTACCGTCATGATTGAAAAAAATTATCATGTTTGAAAAATATTGACATTAATTATAATAAATAATGTCATGTTGAATGCATACTATTTGGCAGTCATGACTAACAGATGGCAGTAAATACTGTCATCTTACTCTTATTTCGGAATATGTATTTTCCGGACCAGTTAACTTGCAAAAATCATTTGACGACCTTCCCGGTTGAGTTTTTGGCTGAATTGTTTTGTGGATAAACTAGACTTGATGGAGAACATGTCATAAAAATTTCATCAAAAAAAGCCACCGGGAAGGCGGCCAAACGCCTTGGTCCGGACGGCGGTTCTGGTCAGGAGCTCCTGACCTGAACATTTGTGTGTGTGTGTGTGTGTGTGTGTGTGTGTGTGTGTGTGTGTGTGTGTGTGTGTGTGTGTGTGTGTGTGTGTGTATATATATATATATATATATATATATATATATATAGTATAGAGAGCTCTTCCTGTCCGGCCAGGCCGGACAGGACCCTGGTCCGGCAACCTCAATTTGAAGTGGTTTCTGGTGGTATTTTTGGCTCAAATTTTTTGTGTATGTTCCTCATCAAGTCTAGTTCATCTATACCAAATGTGAGCAAAAAATTCAATCGGGAAGATCGTCAAATGATTTTTGCAAGTTAATTGCCCCGGAATATACATATAAACGCAGTGAACTTGCAAAAATCATTTGACGACCTTACCGATTTAATTTTTTGCTCAAATTTGGTATGCATGAACTAGACTTGATGAGGAACATACACAAAATATTTGGACAAAAAATACCACCGGGAACCACCTCAAATTGAGGTGGCCGAACAGGTCCGGCTTGGCCGGACCTGAATATCCCCTCTTTATATATATGATAGAGTATTAATCTTATAGAGAAGTGAGAGTTAGAGAGAGAAAATGAGCAATTAATATTTCTCAACCCCCTACAACAACTCCCAAGGGGAGTATTCATAGGGAAAATATGGGTTTGAGCTCTCATGTCTTGGGCTTGAGAGGCCCAGTACAAAATAAGGTCTCTATTGGGCCTAGTACTTGATTAATTTGGCTAAGTATAAGATATAGTTCTTGTTTAGTCTCTTTGGCCGACGGAGAGCCTGGCCGACAGAGGACCAAGTTTTGCTTCTGGGCTTCTGGATCATCCTCTGAGTTGATAGATGTTTGACCGATGGAGCGCCACGTGGGTACCAGTTGTGCTTGTATTTAGTCTTCTGAGTATGTGGGCCATGGGGTATGGGCTCATATACTCTACCAATATGCATATACGACTATACAAATATAAGACGTTAGATACATACGTATGAAGGAAATAAGGAAATTGGGAAGAGGGGAAAAGGAAAGGCGAAATAATTAAAAAGAAAGAAAAGGATAAGAAGAAAAAGTCACATAAGCACAAACCTTCTAAATCAAGTCACCATCTGGTTGATGGTCTTAGAGACTAAACAAGAACTATATCTTGGCTAAGTATAAGATATAGTTCTTGTTTCGAGATATAGTTATTGTTTTTTGGATTTTCTAAGCACAAGCCTGGTCTTGTTTCGAGATAGTACGTAGGTTTAGGGATGGAGTCGGTCCAGTCCGACCGGCCCGGGAACCGGCCCGGCCCGGGTGACCGGTACCGGGCTAAGGCCTGACACGATGGCTTTACCATCGAGCCGTCGTGAAAAAGGCGAACCGCCCGGCCGCACTGAGCCCGCACCGGGCTTTTTTTTGTGGGCTTAGGTGGGCTGGGTTTAGGTGGGCTGGGTGTTTTCGAGGGGTTTGGGGTTAGGGGGTGGAGGGGGGGGGGGGGGGGTTGGAATAAATAGAAAATCCAAAAAACAATACAGGACCGGCCCGGACCGGTATCGATAGACTCCCGGGCCAATCCGGGGCCTTACCCAAAGAAATCCAAGCTCGGTCGGGCCCAGGCCTGAACTAGAACCAGACCGGGCCCGTTCCACCCATACATGGGTTTATTTGACCCTTTTCTCTTAGTTTTTCAATAAATTAGCCATCTTGTTTAATTGTTATTGAAGTATAATTTTATTGTCTTATTGAATTGCTATCGGTATAAAGTTGTCTCGACTATTATGTTAATGACACTTCAATACTCAACTTTGAATTTTTCTACTTCTAATCCATTGACTTTCATAAGAATAACATTTTTGGTTTTTTAGTTATTATTATAATGACACCTTTAGTCCTTCACTTGTTATCTGCATTTATTATGCCAAAATTAAAGTAGGACTAAAGCTCTAAAAGTGTTGATTAATAACACTCTCGACTAAATGTAGGAAATGTTGAAGTTGAGATTAAAAATGTCTCTCACACAATAAGAGAAATTTTGAAACACAGATGCCAAAAGCACCGATGACACAATAGTTAAGGACCAAAAGTGAGAAAAACTTTATTTGTTAATTATTCTAAAATTACTTGTGATGAAATGTCCGGCATTTTGGTTGCTTTGACTCCAAGTAATTATTATTGTGCCATTTAAGGTTATGCTTTTTGGGAGTATTATGATGTCAAGTGTCATATGGTCTCAGGCTCTCGGCCACTTCTAACACTAAATAATTACATTCTTTGACTTCTACACCCCTATGCAAGGGAGTAAGGTGACTTGTGCAATCAAATTGATCAATGTCTAAGTCACCCTAGTACATAATGGTAATCCGTCTCTTTTACCATTGTATACACAAAACATTGACCAGAAGTCTTATCAGAATAGCAAAAAATGTATGGCTTATCTAATATGCAAGAACATAATACTTTGATCAAAACGGAAATACATATACAAAAACCACCATATCCCTACATTGGATTGAGTTCATCAATGAAGATGGATATCATCTTTATCTTCGTTTATTTATGAGCTAACCCAAAGTCTCATGCATCTCAAAAGTTGATTCTAAATGCATTGTCTTGAAACATCTTGGCTTGAGTGCCCTCTAAAAAAGCCTTAACCACCTCTAATGTATGAATCACATCATCTCTCAACCCGTAGTACATTGTTTGCTATGGTACCCCTAGTAACCAATTCCCTCTCAGGATCAGTTCTCCAATGCCCATCCACAACAAACTTTATCTGTCAATGATTAGTTCCCTGATAAACCAACCACCTTAACAAGTAAAATAACATAGAACAAAGAACCCAGAATTTATTAGCAAACATTAGTTTGCTATAAGTATCTCTAATCGGAAATGGTGATAGTTTAGTAGCCCTTTAAATTACTAGTGGTAAACGTCTGGTTATCCTGGATTCTGAAAGGTGACCAATGCTCTTTCCCCAAGGATTAATTATCCTTGGAGTGTTGATTCAGACTCTCTCTCACTACATTGGGACAAAACACCCACTCAGAAAAGGGGGAGGAAGAATACATTGAAGAGAGAACCCTTTGAGAATCCTCCTGGAGAGGGGGGGTTACTCTGGTAGTCTGGTGGTTTCCAACATAGCTAAACAAAAGAAAATAATTGCTATGACGTATTAATCAGCCTAGCCAGCAAACTGGACTTCTTCATATGGCTTCACTTTACCTGAGTTTGGGCAAATTTGACAATAAAAAAAGGGCACCCGGTGCACATTGACGTCCCCACAAAGCAGTGGCGGATCCAGGAAACGGAAGTATTGGGGGCAGAGCAAAGAGAAAAGTACATGAAGAAAAAAGTACTACGTAGTTGATAAAATATATCCGATATTATGAAAGAGATTTATTATAGTTTTATTTGAAAGTTAATCACAATTGCACACATCTTTTGAAAGAGATCCATTATAGTTTTATTTGTGACGGTTTTAAATAGATCTATATTCTGGTGTTGAAGTTGGTGTTTTTTTCAATACTCTGTCCATAAAATCTGATAAAAAAGCGTAATAATTTTTTTGATAACTAATGCACTCTTTTGTCTCTTTATCAAGTGAGTATTGATGAACTTTCAAACATCCGTCCTACTAATTTTAATAGTTTAGCACAAAAACACAATAACACGAGAAATTCCCTAAATATGAATAAAACAATGATAAAGTTCACAAATAGGATTGTCATTGTTTTATTCACTTCTATTTTAGGAAGCTTTAATCAACTTATTCTTTTAATAAGACTAAATAGGTGTTATTTGGTAATAAAACACTCTTAATCTCATTTTTTCACTTTGTTTATGTTTTGGTCCTATATTGAGCAATTTCTATAACACTCTAACACATATGTAGTAAAAATTATACAATAAATCAATAATCAATAGTCAAATACTCAAATTAATTACTCAACTACTACGTAGTTGATACTTAATGGGCTTAAAAGAGAATGTGAGAAACCTGCACTATTGCAATGCCGAGGAGCCGAACTTGAGCTTGTGTGCTCTTCGTTAAAATTTTAGGGGTTTAGGATTCCCTGTTATGGCTGTTTACATAAGCTGAAGTATATGGAGTAATTTTTTAGGGGGCATTGAGTTATTTTATTTTATTTGGGCTGACTGGAATACTGGAGTTGGGTGGGTTAGATATATGGGGACATTTAGGGCCTGTTTACTAACAGAAATATTTTCCAGTTTTCCAGAAAACTGGAAAACTGGAAAACAGAAAACAGGAAACGTGTTTACCAAACAAATTCCTGGAAAACTGGAGAAAGGAAAAAAGAAAAACGCGTTTACCAAATCGTTTTCCAAAACGGAAAAAATGAGACATGTCTCTCTTTTCCTTAATAATTTGGAGAAGTGACTTTTACTAGTTTTCCAAATTTGGAAAACGCAGATGCTACAGTGCCGCTGCAATGAATTTGCATACTTACACCTAGTGGTGGGTCCGGTCCCGCTCCGATGTCGATTCCATTTCGGTACCTCCATCCTCGTACCTTACCCCTTACCCCTACCCTACCCACCCAACCCTACCCACCCAACACCACCCAGCATACCCA